GGCCACTTTGACCAAATTTAAGCTTTTTTTAAAGTTAAATTTAAGCTTAACAGGTGCTAACCACATCGCGAACGTGGGATTAGCCATCCAGTTACCATTAAACTTGCAATTCCCCATGGCACAAGCTCTCACTAGCTTAACCAGCTAATGTGCTCATCTAAAAATAGCCTCCTTTCACAACCAACTGAATGTGTGCGGTTTTGCTTACACCAATATCGTACACAAGAAATGCTGAACACTAACTAGAAATTCACGAAAATTTTATAGAAATAAAAGAATCTTGTTTAGTGGGCCTTTGGTAATTTAAGACCTTTGGAAACTGTATTTAAGGAGTATTTGTAATTTTTAAGGATTTTTAAGGCCTTAAATTTTGAAAAGCAAATTTAAGACTTTTTAAGACTTTTTAAGGACCCACGGATACCCTGGTCATTGTTTGATTTTAAGAATAATGTGTCTAAATGAAGCCGTTTCAAAAAGCCCCCGTTTGTGACGTCACAAACGAGGATTTGGGAAAAATAAACTCTCACCTGCCAAAGACCGGAAGGAGCAGCAGCTTGTCCCTGCAGTGTTGCCAATTGCCTCCGACAGAAAGTAGATGAATTTGACCCAGAAAGTCCCTAGATGTCGCAAGATGACATCATATTGGTGACATCATCACACCGCGTCGGCATTCATTTTCTTCCCAAAATCTAATATGGTTTAAAAAAAGGGACGTTTCGAGGAGCAGGCTGGGCTTTTGCTAATCTTTAGGGAATCTTAATGACAACCTTCATGCGTGGTGGCGCAGTTGTTAGCACTGTTGCCTCGCAGCACAAAGGTTGCAGGTTCGAAACTCGGCCGCGGCGTTTCTGCGTGGAGTTGCGTGTTCTCCCCATGCATGCGTGGGTTTCCTCCGGGTACTCCGGTTTCCCCCACAGATCACAACACGCCCTATAGGTTATAAATGGTAAGTCGCTTTGGATAAAAGCGTCTGCTAAATAAATAAACATGAACATAAACCTTTGATAAAAGTATGAATGAAAGTAGTGAAGGGTTGTCAGAAATGGCGCTAGGCACTTTTGGGGAAAAATCGATAAGAGATCTGTAAAGTCGTTAGAAATAGCAACAAAGTTGCTACGTTGGCAACCAGGGTCCGAAATAAAATTTTTGACTCACCGGCCAAGTTGGCTGGTAGATGATGAAAATCTACAGGCCAAGCATATTTTTTACCGGCCAAAAGTCTAAATGATTTAGATCTACCTAAAGCATGTTATTCTATATCATGTTGATTCCAAACAGAGAGGAGTGACAAAATAATTAAAACATCATTTAATAAGAAAAACAACTCTTTTGTCATTTTACTATTTATTTATTTTTTAGAGATGTTTTTATAAACTCTTTAGTTGAAATCTAGTCAGACTCCTTGTTTTCTCTGACATAGCCATTAGCGCCGAGACCGTGGGTGTCACCGGTAGAGACTCAGATTGAGCCCGGGACATGGATGTGCAGGCAATATGGCATTTGCTGTTTTCATGTTCTCGAATAGTCTCAAGCTTCATCGTCTTATTTCCTATGACAAACGAGTTGTTACAGTTCTTCTGTCGAGCGTGCTGGCGGCAAACGGTGCAGCTCATTTGCGCAGATTCTGGTTCATAATGTAGCCATTGTCTTACGACTCCGCCATCTCCAGTTCGCCACTTTTCACAAAATCTTCTGGTTGCCACTGGTCCTGGTGGTTTTTCTTCCAGTTCGACGAGTTTTCTTTTGGAAGGCTGGCTGACTCCAGTTAAAAACCGCCACATTTCACCGCTAGTTTTAACATGAAGCTAACTGCTAACTTGATAAACTGATTGAATGGGATAGGCGGAAATGACGTTGGATGTGGCGCTCACATTTTGCGTACGTTTGTGTACGTTGCATGCAGGCGGGAGGAGTATCACAGAAATCCATGGAAGATGACTGATAAACATAACTAATGTGGTGCAAACATGTACTCGCTATGTGGCAGATAGAGCTCAAAAATTGGCGAGTGTTAATTTCGGACCCTGTCGGCAACACTGCTACTCTGGGCCTCTCCTCTGTATCAGAGCTTCTTAGCTTACAGCAGCTTGAGTGGAGGGTGGGTGGGCGTCTCCAGCTAAAGCTTGTTATATTAAAGTGACAGAGCCCTGAAATGACTCATTCTGGTAGGTACTGAAAATGTCAAGAACAAAACTGCAGAAATTGCTTTATGTGAGAGGGATTTAGTGCAAAGAAATTCATAAACATGTTTGGTATTGACCATAGAGCTATTTTACCTTTAAAAAAGTCATATTATGTCCCCTTTAAAATACGAAGCAGATATACACAAACATGGAGGTTGTCGCTGTTGTGTTGCAAAATACACAGGGACACAAGCTCTCTCTTCAGCCCCTCGAGTCGCCTGAATTAGCAGAACTGAAACCTTCTTTAGTTAGGACAGAGCTAGGGAATCAAATAAATGATAGACAAAAAGAGGAGGGGGATAGTGATAGGACGACAAGTCAATGGCTCCTTTTTCCTGCAACAGCACAGCTCACCCGCGAAGAAACCTCTGAATCTCTTCCATTCTCCGCGCAGCAAAGAGGACCAATAGATTAAAACTGCACGGCACACACAGCTAAAATGAATGGTGCTAAAAATACATCCTTTTCACCGACACATGAAAGGAAACTGCCTTTCCTCTGTCCAGTATTGAGAAGCCATTGATTCCAAGACAAAGGCTACACCTCCTCAAAGAGGTAAAAAAAAATAGCAATCATACAGGCAATTATTTTCAAATGTGCCTGCAGCAGCCGATAATGTCAGCGCGCCTCTCTTCCTAAATAAAGGGAGGGAAGGCAGGCGTCAGAGCTGCGAGCCTGCTGCTGAAGACGAATGAGCCCATCCACAGAATGCTTGGCTTTCATCTGGGCAGCATGACATGGCGCCCCATGCAGTGTGAGGCAGAGCCAGGCCTGGGGGACAGAAGCACACAGAAACAGAGAAGAATATAGATTCTCTATTCAGCTCGGTGGAAACAACACCCAGACCCCTTTAACACCACTGGACAGATAGCCATTGGCTTTCTTGTAGCCCTACCCCAGACCAAACTCGCTAGGGCCTCTCAACCCTTTCTATGTCAGCCTTTATGGCTGCTGGACCTTTTGTAAAAGACGGAGGCAGAGATTCTTTCTTTTCCACGAGTGTTCTTCAGCCTCTTTCATTTAGATGAGAAGAAAAATCAGAGGAGCGGTTTATACGGCTCTCTGCTGGGCCGATCCCTCCACGCTGCCGAAATGCTTCGCTGTTTTGAATGGAAATCTTCGCTGGAATCACTTCAAAACGAGGAAAATCCTGCAAAACACGGGCGGGGTGCAGGAAGGCGGGACTACGTTGTGAACGCAGACAAAACCCAGATGGAAGCTGTTCTAATCAAATGGGACAAATCTCCCCCAAAAGACAAAGTCGTTCGCTTTTTCCATTTCTGTCATAGCAACCATTAGAATCCCAACATGTAGCCATAGCGCTGGCTCCTCGCATTGTTTACGCCCCAGTTTTCTAAAGTTAACGGACTGAGAGAGGTAGAAAATGGGGGCAGCAAGGCATGGATAAAGGTAGAGTGGGGTAGACAAATGAATAGGAGCAAATGGACAAAGAGAGCGAGAGAGAGAGAGAGAGAGAGAGAGAGAGAGAGAGAGAGAGAGAGAGAGAGAGAGAGAGAGACTCTTCACCTATTTTAACCCAAACTTATGTGCTCCAGTGGAGACCCCTGCGGTCCTTGCCTTAAGGCCCTGAGCCCACGCTCGGCCTATCAGTTTGAGATCAAAAAGAGCTCACTTTGGCAAGACACATGGACTGAATAATGCATACGCTTTAGTTCCACAAGGCTGAATAAGGTGAGTGCCAAAATAAGAGAGAGATGCAAATATGTGCATCATCTTTCACTTTATGTTTATGACAAATGCATATATGTGTTGGTTTGGTGCTCAGATGGGGGTTTGTCAGAGCCTATTTGTTTGCAGGCTACCTAGCCTCTGTACCGTGTCCGTCACTGCAATGGGACAGTGCATACATTACTCTGTGGCATGCAAGAAAGCAGCTTCTGTGATGTCTCATTTGAATAGTCTGACAGCCAGGGGTGGAGAAGCAGCCTCGTAATGAATTATAAATACAAAGTGGGTGAAATATTTTGCCACAAACCACTGAGAAAAGGTGTGCACCCTCCCCAAGTTTGGCCAAAAAGATGCAGAACTTGTCAAAGTTTGATCATTATTGAAAGAAAACCAAAAGACAAGTGAAACGAGTTGGTCTCTTCACTGTATGTTATTCTACTTGCCTTCAACAAACCTTTATGACTGCATTTTCACGTCTGCAGACCTTTGATCACAAGGCACCTCAGGGGTGATGCCAAAACACTTCTGAGCTCCATGCTGAACTGTTCTCCACCCTGCCATCCTCCATCCCAAGATGCACTTCCACACGTGTTCAGAACAACAAGAGAAGGACTCGTAATAAGATCTGGCCTGTGATTTTGACCCAAGACGACCTTTTGATTTTATAGACTCTGTGAAGGTTGCTACTGGCATCCCAACATGGATTAGCCTGACACAGTTGCACTTCCTGGCCTGAGCAGGCTTTCATTTGTAGCACTGCCACGTCTCAGTAGGAGTACATGACCTCCTTATAAATCCTCATCACAGACAAGCACTCCTTTGATGTTTAACAGTGGTGTGGGAGGGAATATTTTCTTTGAACATTTCAACAGAGTCCCAAAGTTATTAAAAACTTAAAAACAGTTAAAACTAGAGTGAACCACAAACTCATGAACTCTAAGATGTAAGTGGCGTTCTTCCGCCATCTAGTGGCAATCGTGCAACACTACATGAACAGAAGGTTGAACGGTAAAGTCACATTCACAACAAGACAGAGTAGGATTATTGACGCAAACATAAAACGTTAGAGGTGTATTTAAAAGGAAATGAATCATGAATGAAATAACTAGCCAATAAACATAAATTTACCTGTCCACGTCTTCTGCTCGGGGATTATGTAATATGTATTCCCCAAATGATCAGTCCCGACGGGCTCACGTACAATTCCAAATGTTCTCCGTAAGAAGCCAACGATCCTGATCATGTTTACTGAATAACCCAAAGGTTCTAGAGTCAAATAGTTCTCTAAAACTGTCTGTTGCCTTTCGCAGCTCTTGTTTACGATATCGCTCCTGGATCGAAAGGAGAACCAACAAACAGTTTTGTGATTGGACAGCCGTACTTTCTTCACCAATCACGACTCTTGTTATTAGATCGGTCATTTTAGCCAACATGGCGTCTCGATGTTTAGAACGAGCAGAAACTAGATTCATTTATTGCAAAGCTAATATTTAAACTAAAAAATGACAACATTCGAAGTTTCTAAAGACGTATTAAGGTTTAACGTATGTATTGGCACACATTAAGGCTTTGTAAGAAATAGTTTGCTCGCATCAATCAGAATGAGTCATTGCAGGTAACAAGTTAGCCTTTGAGCCAGGTTAGCTCCCACTAGCTTAAAGAGATTGTATATTTAGAAATTTTTTTAAATTGTCAGCATTAGTTCTCTTCAGATGTTGGGATTTTTGACTGCAAGGCAAAGTGGTCTGGATGACCCTTTGCGAATGAGGCGAGCAGAGTCAACGAGAAGGTAGGATAAAGTGTAAACGTATAATCTACATTTATTTCATGGCACATTGTTTATGTTATTTTACATACATGCATTTTAGAGATTCAGAAATCATTTGCTGTTGATTAAAGGTAACACTCCAAACTTCCACAGTAACAGTAATATTCTTTGTTGCCACAATGAACTTAAAATAGTAATCCGATTGGATTACTGATTACTCTGTAAAAAATGAGTTATTTTACTCCTCGTTGTCGTTGTCTTCCTCCGCTTATTCGGGTCCGGGTCGCGGGGGCAGCATCCCAACTAGGGAGCTCCAGACCGTCCTCTTCCTGGCCGCCTCCACCAGCTCCTCCAGCAGGACCCCAAGGTGTTCTCGGACCAGATTGGAGATGTAACCTCTCCAACGTGTCCTGGGTTGACCTGGGGGCCTCCTGCCGGCAGGACATGCCCGAAACACCTCTCCAGGGAGGCGTCCAGGAGGCATCCTGACCAGATGCCCAAACCACCTCAACTGACTCCTTTCGATCCAGAGGAGCAGCGGTTCTACTCCGAGTCCCTCCCGAATGTCCGAGCTCCTCACCCTATCTCTAAGGCTGAGCCCGGCCACCCTACGGAGGAAACTCATTTCAGCCGCTTGTATCCGTGATCTCGTTCTTTCGGTCATTACCCAAAGCTCATGACCATAGGTGAGGATTGGGACGTAGATCGACCGGTAAATCGAGAGCCTGGCTTTCTGACTCAGCTCCCTCTTCACCACGACAGATCGGCTAAGCGTCCGCATCACTGCAGACGCCGAACCAATCCGCCTGTCGATCTCCCGATCCCTCCTGCCCTCACTCGTGAACAAGACCCCGAGATACTTAAACTCCTCCACTTCAGGTAGGACCTCTCTCCCGACCCGGAGGTGGCAAGCCACCCTTTTCCGGTCGAGAACCATGGTCTCAGGTTTGGAGGTGCTGATCCTCATCCCAGCTGCTTCACACTCGTCCGCAAACCTACCCAGCAAGAGCTGAAGGTCAGAGCTGGATGAAGCTAGGAGGACCACATCATCTGCAACAAGCAGAGACGAGATTCTCCTGCCACCAAACTCGACACACTCCACACCACGGCTGCACCTAGAAATTCTGTCCATAAAGGTAATGAACAGAACCGGTGACAAAGGGCAGCCCTGGCGAAGTCCAACCCTCACCGGGAACAGGTCCAACTTACTACCGGCTATGCGGACCAAACTCACGCTCCTCTGGTAAAGGGACTGGATGGCCCTTAACAGAAAGCCACCCACCCCATACTCCTGGAGCGTCCCCCACAGGGTGCCCCTGGGGACACGGTCATAAGCCTTCTATCATCGACCTGTGACCTAGGCTGCCCCGGTACCAAGTGTACCGATGGGCATCTTTATGTTCGAACATGGTGTTCGTTATGGCCAAACTGCGGCTTGCACAGAAGTCCAATAACGAATCACCACTCGAGTTCAGATCAGGCGGGCCGTTCCTCCCAATCACACCCCTCCAGGTCAAGCTGTCATTGCCCACGTGAGCATTGAAGTCCCCCAGCAGGACAATGGAGTCCCCTGATGGAGCACTATCTAGCACTCGTCCCAGGGACTCCAGAAAGGGTGGGTACTCTGAACTGATATTTGGCCCATAAGCACAGACAACAGTCAGGACCCGTTCCCCGACCCGAAGGCGCAGGGAAGCTACCCTCTCGTGCCCCGGGGTAAACCCCAACACACAGGCAGAGAGTCTTGGGGCTAACAAAAAGCCAACCCCAGCCCTCCGCCTCTCACCCGGAGCAACTCCAGCAAAGGAGAGTGTCCAGCCCCTCTCAAGGACTTGGGTTCCAGAGCCAATGCTATGTGTCGAGGTGAGTCCGACTGAATCTAGCCGGTACCGCTCAACCTCTGCCACAAGCTCCTGCTCCTTCCCCGCCGCCCCCCATGGGGCCCGGCTTCCCCCCCAGCCGGGCCCCATGGGCGAAAGCCCGGCCACCAGGCGCTCGCTCACGGGCCCCAACCCCAGGCCTGGCTCCAGGGTGGGACGCCGGTAAACTTCTCGGCCGGGTACTCCGACTCTTCGATTGTACATCCATGAAAGATCCTCTGAACCGTTCTTTGTCTCGCCCTTTACCTAAGAACAATGTGTCATGGGAGACCCTACCAGGGGCACAAAGTGCCCCGGACAACATAGCTCCTAGGATCATTAGGGCACTCAAACTCCTCCTCCACGATAAGGTGACGGTTCAAGGAGGAGTTATTTTACTGATTATTTTAAAGTAACAAAGTTAAGTTACAAAATAAGGTATTAGTTACATGCAGCATCACTAACCGTAACTCTAAAAAATAATATTAATAATAATATTACCATAACAAACAAGTGATTATTTTAATTCCAGACAACCAAAGTTATAAGAAACTGTCACAATGATGGATACTAGAAATATACTTATTACAAACCACAATGAATGGTAAAAATTATTTAATCACTTTTACATTAATCTAATGTAAAATACTAGTAAATACAAGTAAATTACTACAAAATTGAAATTTCTTTCATAATAAAGGTTTTATTAAAATGGGACTTTGTAAAAATGTAAAATTCTTTAACTGAATAAATGAAAACAACCATTTTAAGAAAATATAGAACACTGCCATAAGCTCAAAATAAAATAGATTGATAAATAACGACTATTTCATTACAGCGACTTAGTAAATGCAATACCTCACCTTGTAGTTGTGTATTATTATCATTGCATGTTTTTGTAAACACTGTACACCCCATTGTATCTCTCAGTAAATTATGCCATTTATTGCATGTGCACTATTGTTTTGCTTGTTTGACTTGATTATTGTTAGTTTAAAATCTTTCTGGTTGTTATTTTAGTTTAATTTCATTTTGTAACAATTCATTCTTAACATGAGTTACTATTCCATGCTTTCGTTCTTTTTTAAACACAGAAACAGTTTTGTTTACCTGTTTGTAGCTACGGTTTCGCCGACAGCTGCCGGCTTCTTCAGGCTGACGCTGATGGTGGCGCGTCACTTCCTTCTCCGTTTATCTGCGGGCAGCAGAGGACGTTGTCGCCCTCTGCTGCCCGCTCTCCCCTCTCCGACGATGCAGTCCCATGCGTGGTCCAGCGTGTAAACTCCGTCGTCCCTGTTCATGGTCCCACATCCACGTCTCCTTATCTCTATTGCTTCCTTGATCCATCTTTTGTATTTTTGTTGTTCAGTGGTTATGATCCGTGTGCTGTCCCAGTCCATTATATGGTTTTCTCTTAAGCAATGATCTGTTACGGCTGACTTTTTTATTGTACTTTCTGCTTCTTCTTTTGCTGCTCTTGTGTGTTTACGATTTGCCTCTTTCTCGCACTCCTTTCTGTGTTCTATTGTCCGTGTGTTGAGTTGGCGTCCGGTTTCTCCTATGTATGTTTTATTGCATATTTTGCATGGGATTTCGTAGATGACTCCACATTTTTGTCCAGCTGATATTTTGTCTTTTGGGTGTACTAATCTGTTTCTAACTGTTGTGTATGGCTTTGTTGGTGTGTTTATGTTGTGTTTTTTCATTGTTGCTCTTATTTTTTCCGTTATGCCTCTGATGTATGGTAGGGTTATCACTGGTTTTGGTTCTTGTCTTTCTGGGTTTCTGGTTCTTTTTTTGGGTTGTTCTTTGCTTTCTGTTTTTGTTTGTTGTTTTCCTTTGTTTATTGCCCATGTCGGGTATCTGCAGGTCTTTAAAGCGTGTTGTATGTGTTTGTCCTCTTGTTTACGGTCTCTCTCTTCTGTTATTATGTTTGCTCTGTGATATAATGTTCTGATTACTGACATTTTGTGTATGGTGGGGTGTTCTGATGTCCATAATAGATATTGGTCTGTGTGTGTTGGTTTCCTCTATGTGTTTATGTTTAGGGTCCCGTCGGTCTGTCTGGTGATTTTCATGTCCATAAATGCTATGCTGCCTTCTGTTTCTAACTCATAAGTGAATTTTATGTTGCCCGTGTCGTCAATAGTGACGACACGGGCAACATATATGATATGGATTTACAAAGACACAGCAAGAACACACCTAAGATGTTCAATGAGTTACTATTACTAAGGATTAGCTTCATGTTTTATATCCAGTCAGAAGAAAAGTACGAATAATTTCACATTAAGCTGCTATTTCCTGTCATTTTTCTCCTCAGGGTTCTCAGTCTGACATTAGATCCTGACAGAGATGTGGACAGAATCCATGGAAATGGCATCAATACCATAGATATCGAAGCAGTGGAGGGCAGATAGTAAGTTTGCTTTCACAATTAGTCTCACGGTTATAAAAATCACTGTATTACATAGAGAGTTGTAGTACTCTGATACTGTTAACCTATGTCTTCAGAAAGTTCATGCTGGTTACAGCAATTCTTTTACATTTTATAGTCAGATCACCACCTTTTAGAAGTTATGTTAAAGAATATTGTTTTATATAAATTCATTAGAAGTTAACATTTTCTTGCGGTTAGCATGTTGTCTGGAGGTGCAGATGGAGTCATCGTCATTTATGACCTGGAGAACTACAGCGGGAAATTACAGTACACCTGCAAGGCGGTCTGTACTGTAGGCAGGTAAATGTTTATAACATCCACTAGGGGGCATCGCTCCCCTTAGATTTGACCAGATTACAATTTTAACATGCATTAAAAAGTTGTCATTCGTTACCCTTCGGCATCAATCTTTCATTGTCCGCTTGAATTAGCCTGATTGGTGCTCACTTGCGTTTTGTTTTGTCAGGTCAAGTCGACACGTCCACAAATTCAGTGTAGAGACAGTCCAGTGGTATCCGTTTGACACAGGAATGTTTGTCTCTAGTTCCTTTGACAAGACCATGAAAGTCTGGGACACTGAGACTTTAAAGGTGAGCGATGTCACCTCCAAGTTTGATCCACAGAAGTTTTCCAGCAGACCGGTACTGGTGTGTACTATTAAAAAAAAAAAATCAAGATTTACTGAAGCTCTAAATAATCATGCAGCCCACCATGTTTAGAATCTCCACTGTGTTTATTTTTGTTTCTTTCAGCGTCCCTTTATTTTCTGCTTCATACTTTCTACCTTTCTACGCCACATCGTGCCATATGGCAGGCCCAGAGCCGTGCTAGAATTACACTGGCACTACAGTCACCTCAAAAGGTCACAGAAAGGACAGAAAGGAGCGCGCTCACCTTTTAACCAGTTTACTCACTTTCTGTCTGTTTCCCAACTCAAGCACACATTGCATGTTGCAAAATGTGTTGTGTATTTGTATTGTTGTTAGTTTGTGTGGTATTTGTATGTAAACAGAGCCTGCCTCTGTGTGTGAGAGAGAGCCCACGCCCACCGGCCACGCTGGTGCTGGCACACACTGACAGATGGAGCACAGAGAGGCTTTTTATTTTAGCTGCAGAATTTGCATTATAGCCACCACTGCTGTTTGAGCGAGCTGCCCTCAGTGCACTCAGCTCCAGGACCCCCTTTTTACTTTATTCATAGAACTCAGTTCCTCCTGTGAGCTCATAAAATCCACCTTTGTTCATTTAATCGTTCCATTAGATTTTCATTCAACATTTATATGTGCAAGTACTCTTGGCCCTGACTGTGACCTACTTTTTCTGTCTTTTTCTCCTCACATTATTTTAATCTTTAGCCCGCTGAGGTGTTTCAGTTTGAGGGTAACGTCTACAGTCACCACCTGTCTCCCATTGCCAGGAAGCACAGCCTCGTCGCAGGTTCGTTTTAAAGGTTTTTGATGACCTCAGTGACATGGTATGCACCACACTGCCAGAGCTGCTTGTGCGTCTCCCATCGTGTCCTAAAAAAAGCGTTACAGTAACACTAGTAAGTTTCCTACTCCTCTGCCCTACTGGTGGAATTGCAGCTGCCGTAAACAACCCTGCTGCATCCTGCTCTAGCTAGCGCAAACAACCAGCTAACACTAAAATGAGCCAACTAATACCAAAATAAACCATAAAGTAAAAAGATCCACCGTGTTGGACAAAAAATATTTTCACTGATAAGTCCAGTAGCAATAAAGTCAGGTCACCATAAGTCTGTGATTTAGTAATTTACTTTAGTTCCCTCAAACTAGTGTAGGCTAGGGATGTGTATTGGTGAAATTCTGGTGATACGATATGTATCAAGATACAGGGGAGACGATACGATATATCCCGATATATTGCGTTACATTCAGCCAGACGAAATTAACAATTTTTTTAGACTGAATTTATTACAGGAATATTCACTTGAGGTATCTCAACCATAATGGAGGGAATTCCATCTTTTAGTTCTTTTTAAAACACAGAAAAGGTTTAATTACCTGCAACGTTTCAATTGCGGCTGCAAATATCATCAGGCTGACGCCGATGGTGGCGTCACTTCCTTCGTTTATTCGCGGGCTGCAGAGGACGTTGTCACCCTCTGCTGCCCGCTCTCCCCTCTCCGATGCTGCGGAAGTAAAATTAAGAGAGTAATGTCTTCTGAGGCAAAGCAAAGAGCTAAAACCAGAGTAAACATCGGTGAAGCCTACACTGGGGGTGTAAGAAAATATCGATATTGCAGTCACTTCCTTCGTTTATCCGCGGGCAGCAGAGGGCGTTGTCGCCCTCTGCTGCCCGCTCTCCCGCAGCATCGGAGAGGGGAGAGCGGGCAGCAGATGGAAATCCATGGAAATGACATCAATACCATAGATATCGAAGCAGTAGAGGGCAGATAGTAGGTTTGCTTTCACAATTAGTCTAATTTCCATGGATCTGCCATTTCCATGGATTTCCATCTGCTGCCCGCTCTCCCCTCTCCGATGCTGTGGGAGAGCGGGCAGCAGAGGGCGACAACGTCCTCTGCTGTCTGCGGACAAACGAAGGAAGTGACGCCACCATCGGCGTCAGCCTGATGATGTTTGCAGCCTCAAACGAAACGTTGCAGGTAAATAAACCTTTTCTGTGTTTTAAAAAGAACTGACAGATGGAATTTGAAACTAAACACAGCAAGAACACACCAAAGATGCATAATAGAGGGATTTACATTTCAGTGGTGGAAACATAACCCATTGCACACTGCTGCCAACCAGCAGTCGGCATTTGAATTGCATTAAATGAAAAGAAAATACACAAATGTCTGCATGTAAATTATTCCCAAAATTCGATACATGGCTTTTGAATATCGATATAATATTGCAGGAAAAAAATCATGATGTATTGCAATATCGATATTTTCTTACACCCCTAGTGTAGGCTTCACCGATGCTTACTCTGGTTTTAGCTCTTTGCTTTGCCTCAGAAGACATTACTCTCTTAATTTTACTTCCAGACTCCACCTTGATGCCAGCAAAAAAGCAAACTTGTTCCTTTTGTTCTTCTTGTGCTTTTTATTGATGATCGGCAAACTGAAAAGCTAACTGCTAGCATAACAACTAACAGCCGCAAAGCAGGTAAAGAGCGCTCGCTTTTGACCCTTTGCACGTGACATCACTCCACTCATGGGACCGCCCCCTTTGCCATGGTGGATGGCAAAAAGGTCGTTTGCACATGATGAAACTCCAGTGAAGCTAGTCAAAACAAGCCTTTTGTCGCTTTTATTTAGTTGATTTCACAGTAAAATGGCAACAGCTTTCCAGTTGGCTGCACTAACAGACAAGGATGTAAAGTCAACTTTTTTTTTTTTTTGCAAATAACTTTGATGGAGACTGAGGACGGAGATGAACTGCGGCGGTCAGTCAAACGCACTAGCAGCCCGAGTGTCTTCGGATTTGTAGAAGGGCTGTCACGGTAACCGCAAAAATGAAATATCGCCAGAGTTGCACGCAAGTACGTGTGCGTTAGTGCAAGGAGCGCACCATCCGAGAGGGTTTTCAGTGTTGCTGGAAATGTTGCCACCCCTCTCAGATCCTCTCTCAAAGCGTATATGGTTAACATGCTGGTTTTCCTTGTGGGTAACAAGGACGTGACCGAGCTATAAATCACCGTCATTCGTGTGTGTGAACGTGAAACGATAGTGCCCCGCGCCCAGTACATGTAATTTTTTTATGCTTGATTTTAAACAACTAAACAAAATGGGGACTTGTTTCTTATTTGTTAGATGCTGCAGCCAAATTTGCATTTAAAAGTTTAACCTTCTCCTGAATTTTGTTGTTTTTAAGTTCAGTCGGACTCCGACTGTCGGAGAAACAAACGTTACTGCGATCTGTGTTGTTACTGCCCTTTGATCTGCATTCAGTAAAGTGTTATAAAAGAAGGCACGGCAATTTTTAACCTTTTTTAAATGTGTAAACATTATGTTTAGATAGTACTGCAATAAAACAAGTGCTGCAATAATATCGCACACCGCAATATTAAGCCACCCTGAATCACCGCAGGGGGAATTCCTCAACCGCGACAGCCCTAATTTGTAGCGAACATATTTTTACCGGATAATATTAACATTCATATATTTCATGAGGAAGACAGAGACAGGGATAAATGTGATGTCTAATTCCATTTTTGGTTCTTTTTAAAACACAGAAAAGGTTTTTCTTTACCTTGCTGATGTACGTTTCGTTTGCCGACTGCAAAACGTCCTCAGAGCTGACGCTGATGGTGGCGCCACTTCCTACTCCGTTTATCCACGGGCAGCAGAGGACGTTGTCGCCCTCTGCTGCCCGATCTCCCCTCTCCGATGATGCAGTCCCATGTGCGATCTAATGAGTAAACTCCATCATCTCTGTTCATGGTCCCACATCCACGTCTCCTAAGCTCTATAGCTTCTTTTATCCATCTTTTGTGTTTCTGTTGTTCGGTGTTTATGATCCTTGTGTTGTCCCAGTCCATTACACACAAGAAACGTCACAACCAAACAGAAGCAAGTGGAAAACGAACTGAAAAGAAGACATCTGGACTTAAAAAGGAATTACAAACTTGATGAAAAAAACGGAGGAACAAGTTAAAGGACACATAATGGAAAACCAGGAAAAAGAATTCATAAAAGTAAAAGAAAGACACATGAAGAAGTTAAACAAACTCATCAACAAGAAAAAGAGAAAAGAAATCCAAGATAACACCACACAAAGCTCATGGGTATGTAACATTTCACAATACGGACTAACAGAAGCAGAAGAGAGCATATTAAAGAAAGGTTTAAACTTTGCAGTCACTCCAAAGAAATACCATATGATGAATTCATTGTAGCAACAGAACTAGCATGTCAACAGATCACAGATGAGGGAAAGAAATCAGAACTCAGAAATAATGTTGTTGGGATATTAAAGAACGGCCAAATTCAACACAGCAATATTGCAAAAGAAGAACAATCAGCCATGACAGCATTATCCAAAAATGAACAGATAATTATTCTACCGGCAGACAAAGGAAGAACCACAGTGGTAATGGACAAAGACATATATAAACAACAGATGAAACAGATGCTAGAGGACAAAAATACATATGAAATACTTAAAAAAGATCCAACAGAAAGCATTAAGAAAAACATGAAAAAATTACTGAAACCACTACAAGAAATAGGCAAAATAACAGAAAAAATGTACAAACACTGGATTCCCACAGCAAACATAATACCAAGAATCTATGAAACTCCAAAAATACACAAACAAAACACCCCACTTAGACCAATAGTTGACAGCATCGGTACACCAACATACAACATGGCAAAAGAAATCAGCCAAATCATCAGCCCGTTATTAGGGAACACAGATCAACACTGCAAAAATAGTATAGAACTAGCAAAATAATTGAATATTACAATAGAAGACAACGACATACTCATCTCACATGACGTCACATCCCTGTTCACAAAAACACCATCCCAAAAAACCATAGACATGGTAGTTAACAGAATCAGACAGGACAAAACTTTACACAAAAGGACAAACCTAACAGCAGACGACATAGCACAACTTATAGGACTAGTAGCTAACTCCACTTACTTCACATACGATAACACGATATACAAACAACTGGAAGGCTTCGCCATGGGTAACCCGTTATCAGCCACCCTGTGTGAGTTTTTCATGGAAGACCTGGAACAAAAAGCCATAGCCACTGCCCCCCCCCCCACCCCCACCCCCAAACTACGAAATAAAATTACAGAAACGCTACGTGGATGACATACTGGAAATCATACCAAAAGGACAAACAGAAACACTAACACAACACTTCAATAACATTGACGACACAGGCAGCAGTTCACTTATGAGTTAGTATAGCATTTATGCACATGAAAATAACCAGGCAGACCGACGGGACCCTAAACATAAACACATAGAGGAAACCAACACACACAGACCAATATCTATTATGGACATCAGAACACCCCACCTTACACAAAATGTCAGTAATCAGAACATTATATCACCGAGCAAACATAATAACAGAAGAAAGAGACCGTAAACAAGAGGACAAACACATACAACATGCTTTAAAGACCTGCGGATACCCGACATGGGCAATAAACAAAGGAAAACAACAAACAACAACAGACAGAAAAGAACACCCAAAGCAAAGAACCAGAATCCCAGAAATACAAGAACCAAAACCAGTGATAACCCTACCATACATCAAAGGCACAACAGAAAAAATAAGAGCAACAATGAAAAAACACAACATAAACACACCAACAAAACCATACACAACAGTTAGAAACAGACTAGTACACCCAAAAGACAAGATATCAGCTGGACTTAAATGTGGAGTCATTTACGAAATCCCATGCAAACTCTGCAATACAACATACAGAGGAGAAACCGGACGCCAACTCAACACACGAACAGTAGAACATAGAAAGGAGTGCGAGAAAGAGGCAAGTCGAAAACACACAAGAGCAGCAAAAGAAGAAGCAGAAAGTACAATAAAGAAATCAGCCGTAACAGATCACTGCACAGAGACGACCATATAATGGACAACACAAGATACAACAACAACAGAAATACAAAAGATGGATAAAGGAAGCGATCGAGATAAGGAGATGTGGATGTGGGACCATGAACAGAGACAATGGAGTTTACTCATTGCATCACGCATGGGATTGCATCGTCGGAGAGGGGAGAGCGGGCAGCAGAGGACGTTGTCGCCCTCTGCTGCCCGCAGATAAACGGAGTAGGAAGTGACGCCACCATCGGCGTCAGCTCTGAGGACGTTTTGCAGTCGGCAAACGAAACGTACGTCAGCAAGGTAAAGAAAAACCTTTCCTGTGTTTTGAAAAGAACCAAAAATGGAATTAGAAACTAAACACAGTAAGAACACACCAAAGATAAATGTGATGTGTTTATATTGATAATCCTCATGGCTGGTTGGATATTTCACCATGGAGGACGCACGGTACCGTCCACTGTAGTGAAATACGAGATAATGTTTTGCAATAATATTGTTCCAATGTAGGATTACGTGGGTTAAAATTATGTTGTTTACTTGGTACGATGATCGTCGCCGTTATGAGATATCTTGTCACATCGTGGCGTGTGAGTAGCATCTGAACCCGGTGACTCCACCAGCAACAATAACTAGTAGAGATTCGGACTTTCTTGAAATCAGCTTTGGTGTAAAGTGAAACGCAGTTTGTAACATAATGTTATAAAGCCAGCGGGGTGAGTTTAGACAAAGTCGGACAGCTGCAGAGAGAACTTGAGCTAACGTTCGTAAGCTAGTTAATAACACTTGACTGTTGATCCCCACCTAGGTGTGCTACTTCTTCTGATAACTGAACATGGGCTTGAACTAGTAAAGGGAATGCTAAAAATTGCATAAAACAAAAACAATTTCAGGCTCTACTTTTCCCTTTTTTACACGTGCCGCTCACTGTTTTCATGCTTTTGCCAACCGATATGGTAGATCCATGTGAAAAGTCGGTGCAAAGGGTCAATAGTTAAAGTTAAAGTCCCTTTAGTTGTCACACACACACAGGTGTGTGTGCGAAATTTGTTCTCCGCATTTGACCCATCCCCTGGGGGAGCGGTGAGCTGCAGACACAGCCGCGCTCGGGAACCATTTGGTGGTTTAACCCCCCCAATCCAACCCCTTAATGCTGAGTGTCAAGCAGGGAGGCATTGGGTCCCATTTTTTCAAAGTCTTTGGTATGACCCGACCAGGAATCGAACCCTGATCTCCCAGTCTCAGGGCGGACACTCTACCACTAGGCCACTGAGCTGGTCCAAGGACACCCCCCCGCTCCACTTAACTGTTAATTGCAGTATCTGACCAGCAGAGGGCTGCAGAGTTGTGTCAAATATTTAAGTAGTTTCTAACCCAATCATTGAGATCAATCATAGAATTCTAGCTACAAGTTAAAATAACATTAAACTGGACTAAAGGCCCACAGGTTTATTCTGTTTCTTAGTGGATGTCTGCTACGTGATGTTCAACGAAACCACCAACACAAACTTAACAAACTCATCCCCAGGCTGGAAAGTGACATCTCCTTAAAGGGGCGAGTCGGGTCGAAAGCTGAGCACACATGAACTGACTTCAACGGAGAACGATTGTCGGAATCTCGGTGCTCACAGGTCGTAAAGCAGGACCGACAGGTTAATCGTGCCTGCCGAGTATGTGCTCACAAAAATAAGTTCCCTGCCATACAAACCAGTTCCTTCAGCGTGTTTGCTTCTAGGGCAGAGGTTGCTTTTTCTTTCCTTTGTGATGTTCGTCAGACCGGTTGGAACGTTCCGAGAGTTTCTTCAGCTCCGATCATGCCGGTGCATTTAGGGAAACTTCTAAAAAGAGTCTAAATTTAAATTCTTCATCACAAAAAGGAGGAAAATAAGGTGTTTTGTTGTTAAGTCATGCTTCCTCCCATGCATTTATGTAAGCAGGGTGTGGGTGTGTTAGCCCAGAACCATCACGGGTGTTCATCTCGTATCTTATCTGTGGAAAAAATGGGTTTCAAGTTCTTGCTTTTTCTAGTTTTTTCCTGTTGTGTAACATTTTGAGAATGTTAATAGATTAATGTGCGTTAGTTGTAATGTTGGTTTAAAAGGGAGTTTTTAGTAGTTTTGTCTTGTTTTTATGTACTTTGATTAAAGAAATTAGACTTTTGTGTTCACTGTAACATTTCTCTCTCTCTCTCTCTCTCTCTCTCTCTCTCTCTCTCTCTCTCTCTCTCTCTCTCTCTCTTTCTCTCTGTGTGTGTGTGTGTGTGTGTGTGTGTTTCAGTTGGCACCAACAATCCTAAAATCCAACTTTGTGACCTGAAATCTGGCTCACGGATTCACGTTCTTCAAGGTCGGTGTGCCTTACCTTTACCTGTGGAAACTTTTCAGACACTTTTAAGGATTGCTGTGCACTAGACTCATCTAAAATATCACATTTGAAATGCCTCAATTGTAAATTTACATCCTCTCATGGTGATAGCAGCACTTTACTCTGGGGATGTTTTTATTTTTCAGAATCTGATAAAGAAAACAACTTAGATGAAAGATATCGGGTGAAAAACAATGTTGAGCCATCCTGAGTGAAGTTTCTGGATGTTTTGGTTGAGGCAGATGTTTACGTGTCGTCACAACAACCACCTGAATAATGCAAGGAGCTCTGAAAAAAATCTACCTGAAAGGAACTGATCTAAGGAAATAGCTGTGCACGTTTTGCTTTCCATACTGTCTGGTTTAGCTTGAACTCCCTTGTCGAGAGCAATGTGGAAAGAAAGGCGTGCCACATTTTTGGGACACCATCCAAAGTTGACTTCTCTTGGCTTCCAAAATGGTATTTACTAAAAAAATATGTTTGAATGCTAAATAAAAGAATCATATTTCAGGCCTTTATCTTTCATAAATCCATCCATTTTTGGCCGCTCATCCGGGGTCGGGTCGCGGGGGCAGTAGCCTAAGCAGGGAGGCCCAGACTTCCCTCTCCCCAGCCAGTTGGACCAGCTCCTCCGGGTGGATCCTAAGGTGTTCCCTGATCAGCCGTGAGACAGTCTCTCCAGCGTGTCCTTGGTCTTCCTTTAGGCCTCCTCCCAGTTGGATGTGCCCAGATAACCTCACCAGGGAGGCGTCCTTACCAGATGCCCGAGCCACCTCAGCCGGCTCCTCTCGATGTGGAGGAGCAGCGGGTCTACTCCGAGCCCCTCCCGGATGCCCGAGCTTCTCACCCTTTCTCTAAGGGAGAGCCCAGCCACCCTGCAGAGAAAACTAATTTCAGCCACTTGTATCTGTGATCTCATTCTTTCGGTCACTGCCCAAAGCTCGTGACCATAGGTGAGGGTAAGAACGTAGATCGACCGGTAAATGGAGAGCTTTGCCTTCTGGCTATCTTTCATACATTTACATGAAAACCTGTAGCCAGGAAAAGATTGTGTATAGAATTAGAAAGTAAAACAATAAACCGTCCTCTAGATGCACCTGGATTTCAACAGAAGCATCGTTAAAGCCCTGAAAACTTTTCACGTGCACATATACAAATGGCTGCATATGTAATAGTGTGATAATCTGTAATAAATTCACTGATGCAGGTCACAGAGCAGAAGTGCTGTCGGTGCGTTGGTCGCCCAGGTACGAGCACATCCTAGCCACCGCCAGGTAAGCTCTGTGAGCCTCCGTTCTTCCACGTTTAAGGCTAACACCAGGATCTCTGCTATGCTGTGCCCCAGCAGCTTGTGTCATATCACGACCCAGCCATCTGGCTACATTTAGATGCTGAGTCAAGGATAATGGTAACGCATCTCTACTAGAGCAGCAGTATGGTGGTTTAGTATACCTGTCAGTTTAGCATATGCTAGGAACACTACCCATCTTTTTTAACGCCACATTAGATCCGCTAATTAACCCCTTGGGAGCAGTGTGCTTCTGTGCACTTGGACTCCAAGTGATTTTGAAGTCTGCTGCCGGAGAGAGGCACATGCAGTAATGTTCGCTCCCAACAGGAAATACGCACAGCTGTTAATAAAGTGTTACTTGTTTAATAGTTACCCAGAGATGATTCATACTAATACTCTATGATGTTTCTTGCTCCTAAGTGCAGACAGCAAGGTGAACGTGTGGGACGTGCGTCGAGCTTCAGGCAGTCTGTTTACTCTCGACCAACACAATGGAGAGAAGTCCAAAGCCTCTGCAGAGGCAGGTACGGATCATTGTACCGTTTTCGCTGCATTGTTTTCATTCCTTATGCTCTTTAAACATTTAATAAGAACAACAATGCATTTTTCTCCCATGCAGCTTTAATATCTATATTTTTAATATTATTTTTAGCTCAGCGTAGTGTTGAGTGTGTTGTCTGTGGTGGAATGCTAAAGATTCTGCGCAGGCGGTATCATCTTTTCCTATCAGAGATCGAAAAGGAAACGGCATTCTAACTGATCTAGTGTACTCGAGCTGCTATCTTTAAGCTTTCTTATTATGCCGAGACATTTTCAACTTGGGAGTCTAATCAGGTTCAGTCGTGGGTTTATGAAAACAAATGATTGAAGAGTACGCCATTCACAAATGCAGCTATACAGAAAGTGATGTTTTGTGTATATTTGCAGAACTTTGGTGACCTTGTCTTATTTATCTCACTAGTAAATACAGCCCATAACGGCCGAGTGAATGGTCTGTGCTTTACGTCTGATGGTCTCTATCTCCTAACCACTGGAACAGATGACCGCATGAGACTATGGAATAGTGCTTCAGGAGAAAACACACTGGTAAGGTGTTTTTTTTTTTTCTTGTCCAGCCTTTCCACATTGGTTTTGCTGAAAATGACAATGTTTTTTAGTTATGCTACTGGAACTCTGCACGTGAATTTTATTTTGACAGTTTTCGGGTGTTTGACACTGCTTTCAAGTTTGACTTCCTGTCTGGCCCGATTCGAATTGCAGAGATTGACATGTTCTAAAAGTGTAGCATGTAAATAAGTAGCCTCGAAGCGTAATCAAAGCATTCCTACGCTTTAGATGTGCTTCCAAAACCTTACGCTTCGTGGCCGGCGGAAATACACCCATCATCTATGATGGCGGTTACGTGACGCCTTTGCGTTTGGTGGAAAGGCCTGGTTAGGTTACTGTTTTACATGGCAAAGCAAGCAAAAAATATTTTTTGCAGGGCAGTCGGTACATTTAAGCAAAATGAATACACCAACCCCTCCCCTTCCTAAAACACATAAGAAAACAGCAAATAGATGAAGATAAACATTAGTTGTTAAAGCTACAACCTGGAGATTTCCCAATTTAAGGAATTATGTATGATTTGTTTGAAATTCATAAAAATAATGTAGTCAATATGCCAATTTTTTTTTTTTGCTGGCCCACCCCCAGTCCCATAGATCCCATGCAATTTAAATTGAAGCTGCTCAGCCAATAGCGTTACACATCAGGTTACGTACAGATATCTGTCACAGAGCGTGCTCACATTTGCCGACGTTGCTAGACTGATACAGAATTGGCGACATTTCTCATGGATAAGTCTTTAAAATATGTACGGTACATAGTAATAAACAGTATACTGTGAGAATAATAATTGTAAAATAATGTGTTTTAGCTCTTTTGGCCGGTTAGAGGTGTACTTTCACAAATGAGAGGCGTTGGGGGAGAGGTTTATAGATGCAATAAATTTATATAACGTTTCTGCTTTAATATTGGCCAAGTTTACTTATCGGACCAATGAAATGTGTTAAAAAATGAATAACATAGTCCAAAACCAACGTTGATATACCGATAGATTGTGCATTTCTAGACCAGTTGTCTAAAACTTTAGCATTTTCTGATAAAGAAATGTGTTGATTCCCCTTCATTCACCATGTTTCACTTTAATCTTTAATCCCACTTTAAAGGAGTAACTGTATAAGATTTTAAATCCGCATCAAAGCCAGGAAAAACCCCACAAACCAATACATTAAAAAAGGTAATAAGCTGAGTGTAGATTTATGATTCTTCCTTTGTTTTATGAGTCTCAAAAACACGGTGGCTCCAGGATTTTTATGTTCTTATGTGTCTTTAGTAAACATTTTGTCACATCAAGCCATAAAAAGTTGTGGTTCTTTTAGTCTGTGAATTTTGATTGTGAGGTTTGATTATTTACTTTAAATCAAGTCAGTAGAGAAATCAGAGCAGAGGGAGATTCAGATGTCGATAGGTCGGGTGTTGCACAGATTTAGCCAGCTGTAGCCTTAACAAATCTACCGTTTAGGAAAGGTGGAAGACCTTTAAGGTCAAAGGTCAGAATTTCTTCACGCATGTTACATTTGCGAGATGTCAATGCAATGAATCAGACCACAGCTTTGTAACATGCAAGAGGATGTGATGAGTCATGTTGTTCTCACGATGTCTGAAATGATGTTTGAGCAATTCAAAGCTCAAATGCTTTAGACTTTAGTGGGAATTTAGTTTTTTATTTTACTGGTCTTGAGATATTCATATTTGTTCATAAAAAATAAATAATCATTTTATTTTAACATTCTAATATAAATGTATATCCGTCCGGACCAGAACCTCCCGCCACAAGAACAGCTTCTTTCCATCTGCCGTTAGACTTGTGAATAGATTATAAACATGCAACCATGATGCTGGTCTTCTGTACTCGACACGTCGCCACGTTGTCGGCCATGTTACCATTACCTGCCATTTTTATAGCTGAAAGTTTTATTCTATTTTTATTCTTATTGTGTGTTCATGTTTTATGGAGCACATTAGTACCAAAGCAAGTTCCTAGTTTGTGAATTGTTTGTTCACTGACAATGGCAATAAACCTGATATGTACACTCTAAGAAATGAAATGTTGAATGTACGTAACTAAGTTGTGTCAACCTATGTGCTTAAAGGGACACGAGGCAGTTTGGGCTTGCTTTAACATCCCCTAGTGTCCTTTTTAAATCCCTTTCATACCCCCCTGCTGTGTGTCCGTGTTTTCAAACCGGCTGACCACATATAAAATTTATACTTGCAACATGATTGTGAGGTCTGTATCTGATTTGGATCCTTCTGTCTCTAAGCTCTCACCATTCAGAAAACATTTTTCCGATGTGGACTCTTGTCCGTCAACTTCTGGATTTGAAAATAAGCATAAGTATTGCGTCCATTCGGTCTCCGCAAGGGTGGAGACATAATTTGTTTAAGTTAACATAATAAGGGAGATTTCGGGGTAAAGACGGCAGGAAACGGGTAAAATACAGGAGCTTCCTGGCCAATATGGGAGACCTTATAGAATTGCTGTAAAGTGTTGAGTCTGATTTATACTTCTTCGTCTGCTAGAGAGTGGAGTCACACACATAGATTGACGGAGAGTGGTTGCCTTTGGACTTCTCCTTAATCCTCAATCCTTTGTCTTGTCCACCAGGTGAATTATGGGAAGGTCTGCAACGAGAGTCGTAAAAAGCTGCAGTTCGCAGTGTCGCGCGGCTGCAGCCCAGACTTTGTGTTTGTGCCTTGCGGCAGCTCTGTGGCGGTGTACGCCCTCCACACTGGAGAACTGGTCACAATGCTTAGGGGTCACTACAACAATGTTGACTGCTGTGAGTTCCACCAAGACCACCAGGTGAGACACAAACGCATCGGGGAGTGGCGGCGTGCCCATCCATCAGTGCCACTTCCACTTGTTCTGTTTCTTCAGGACAAAGGATGTTTCTCTGCCGAATGCTTTCAAACTGAAGGCCACTCCTCTCTTTTATTTTGATTTATCATCTGTGCCGTTGATGGTGTTACTGCTCTACAGTGGTGATAAGCCACTCGCTTTGCCAAAGTCAACATTTCTATCCATAAATGTAAATTTTAGTGACACTGTTCTCCCAAACTGCTATTTGACCCTGCTACATGCAGAATTCACATGTTAATACCGTCTCTGCACCAGAGTAGTTTCACTTCTATTTCTTTTGAGATTTAGCACAGCGAGGACTGTCATCACTTTAGGTTCCCTGTTTGCTTGTAGCAAACAAAACTAAATACCGTGTGAAGATTAGATGACAGAACTGCTGGAAGACTCAGGAATATGCACAAGTCATGGTCATAAATATCAGAATCTTAACCATTTAATTCAATTAGTGGTGCGTACCCCAAAAAATGGTGTTCCTTTGGGGGGGGGCGTGATGGGAAATCATGGATGAACACTAATTTAATGTAACAGAACCATCTCAAACCAATAACTGGACAATGATTCCTTAATTTCTTATTAATGTATATTTTTATTTAATTTCCATTTAAAACTATTATTGACATAGATTCCATTTGAAATTAAATGACCTTCAGTACTAAAATATGGGGGGTTAGTGTTTATTCACCTTTCGGACTGATTGGGGCGACGGTGGAACAGGAGTTAAGTGCTCGCCCTGTAATCAGAAGGTTGCAGGTTCGAGCCCTGCTCAGTCTGTGTCCTTGGGTATCACACTTAGCCCGCCTTGCCTGCTGGTGGTGTTCGGAGGGACCGGTGGGGCCTGTGTACGGCAGACTCGCCTCAGTGTCTGACACTGCGTCAATGTGAATGGGTGAATGACTGATTGTGTTGTAAAGTGCCTTGGGGGGGGGGGGGGGGGGGGGGGTCCCAGGACTCTAGAAGGGGCCATATCAAATACAGGCCATTTATCATTATTCAACTGTTAGATATATTCAAGGTGGGATGCAGATTTCAGTCATGCTGTCCTTATTTGGTAACTCGAGCTTTAAGCTTCCGGTGAGACATTTTTCTGTTTGACACTTAAGAATGCAGTTCAGTGGCGTGTTACTCCAGAGCTCCAGGAAAGGATGCCTAGTCTCAATTATGTACTTTAAAGGAATATTTCCTGTTCGATTATACTGAACAGAATCAGAGTTAGAGCTCTGATGTTTCCTTAGAGATGAGTTGCTTTGGATTAATTAGCATACTCTTTCTTCCAGTTATACACTTTAATGTTTCTATTTCAGGGTATCCGCGGGTCCTTAAAAAGTCTTAAATTTGCTTTTCCAAATTTAAGGCCTTAAAAATCCTTAAAAATGACAAATAATCCTTAAATACAGTTTCCAAAGGTCTTAAATGTCCAAAGACCCAATAAACAAGATTCTTTTATTTCTATAAAAATTTTCATAAATTTCTAGTTAGTGTTCAGCATTTTTTGTGTACGATTTTGGCGTAAGCAGAACCGTACACATTCAGTTGGTTATGAAAGGGGCCTATTTTTAGATGAGCACATTAGCTGGTTAAGCTAGTGGGAGCTTGCGCCATGAGGAAGTGAAAGTTTAATGGTAACTGGATAGCTTATCCCACGTTGGCGACGTGGTTAGCACCGGTTCCAGGCAGTAGCTGGAAATTATAGCTTAAGTTTAATTTTAAAAAAATTGCTTAAATTTGGTCAAAATGGCCTTAAAAAAGGTCTTAAAAAGTCTTAAATTTGGCTCCCTTAAACCTGCAGATACCCTGCTATTTAGTTTTTGCTATGAAGGTCATTTTCTGTGATGCTAAGTGCAGATGTCTCTGTTGTTTGTGTAGGAGCTGTACAGTGGAGGCAAAGATTCTAACATACTGGCATGGGTTCCTGTCCTGCGTACCGCAGACGTGGAGGATGAGTCAAATAATGACAATAAGGTATAAACCGTAAAAATACATTCAAAGAATTGTCCGAGAAAAATAAATGACTGGTATAAAAAAACTATAATGTGCTTTGTGTCCCAGGTTGAGTGGAATTCTCATGAAAACTTGAAGGTTGACGTGTCTGCTTTATGTGGTGTCCGTTCACCCTGTCTTCTGGTAACGATCTTGTCAGTCTTCAGTCCCAGGACCCTGCTATGAGCAGGATGATCCTGTACCTTTCAGATCCTACAACTCATCTGCCTTCTTCTGCCGAGCTTGACTCCGTTCCTGAGCTCCGTGCTCTCTTTCGTGTTCGGGTCACGCTGAGAATGGTTGAAGGGTTGCTGATGCACGCCTCCAAGCCTCCTTTGCCGCCTGTCCCCGTGGCACCACAGTCACTAAGGGGGGGCATGATCACGCAAGCTCATGACTCTCCCTCCGCCGGACACAAAGGTGTCAAGGCCACATTCGGTGCCCTGATCCTGGTTGCTTATTGGCCGGGTATGCGTCGCAACGTCTCAGATCACGTCCAGCGTTGTTTGGTTTGTTGTCAGTTTCAGCCATCCAACCCCGCACACAGAGCTCCCCTACAGAGAAAGGGACCGTCCACACCGTGGTCGGACTTGCAATTTGATTGGGTGGGGCATCTGACCAGGTCCAGCAGGGGTAATAAATACATCTTGACCGTGACCTGTACATTCACCAAGTGGGTTGAATGTCTACCAGCACCTAATGACATGGCGAAAACAACAGCTATTCCCCTGATGAATCACATCTTCGCCCGGTTCGGTCTTCCCACTCGGGTTGACTCGGCCAGGGGTACTCACTTCACCTCTGAAGTGATGGAACATCTTTGGAAACTGTTGGGTGTGAAGGCCAATTTCCACATTAGCCATCGCCCCCAGTCTTCTGGCCAGGTCGAAAGGATGAACCGGACGGTTGTCGGCATGTTGAGGAAGTATGTGTCCTCTAATCACCGAGACTGGGATGTGAAGCTTCCGTTGGTCCTCATGGCCATACGGGCCACCCCTCATGAGTCTACTGGTGTCTCCCCGTTTGAAATGATGACGGGTAGACAAATGACCCTGCCTCTTCACCTGCTGTACCAACCTGAATAAACCACTGGAATACTTTTGCTTTCTTTTGAATATCCAAGCTACTCTCATGACCACTCCACTTCCTGCAAATCTGCCTTTAAAGGTGTGGAACCCTGAAAAATCATTTTTAATGATTATTCCTGATTATAATAGATCACTGTGAGTTTTTCATGCAAGCTGAACATGAAAGTGGCCTCCTACACCTATCTCCTGCGTTAGATAGAAAGTAGACTGTGAAACTTGAGGATTTGAAAATCTTGACAGATCTATGTCACACTGTCACTTAACATTCATGGACTCACCCATCTTGACTCGCGACGGGGGAGGCTGTTGTTGCTTTAACATCGAGGAATCAGCAGACAACGTCATGACTAGCAGAAGCTAACTGTTAGCATTAGCGACACCATCACACAGAAAAACTCCACGCTTGTGTTATTTGTGGAGATAAAACATCCACGTTGGAAGTCAGTGGTAGAGTCGTGTTGCTGTTATCCAATCCGAGGCAAGGTGTACAAAACTCAGGAAATAAGACACCAAATCCTGGCGTGTTGTGCCACTCTCTGCTGCAGCAGACTTGTCCATGCTGATCCAAGCACTTGTCGGCATCCTTCCACAGTCCACTACAAATATATTGATTAAATGAGTTTCCCACACCTTTAAAGAAATCTATTAAACTCAAGATGTTGAATTTGAGTCAAAATTCCACTTTGAAATGAATTACAAAAGGTTTTGCTCATCTGAATGATAGAAAGACTGGAGAAAGTGTCAGAGCTCTTGAAGTTATTGTAAAGCTTTTGTAAAAACCTTTTGAACCTTTTGTTATTTGTCCTTTGTGGCTGAAATAAGATCGTAGATAAACATGCTTCATGCAAGGAATTTCAATAATGACAGCTCATCATTGGCGTGGACATGGTAAAACTTTTGTAACCACTCTGAGTGTGTGGGTATTCATCTTCTACAGTCTGTAACAATGTGTGCATGCAGATGTTGCTTTATTATGTAACCTATGAGGATAAAAACCAAAGTTGTTTTTCTTTTGCTCCTCTCAGGGTGCTGCTGGCCTGTCGGCTGTGAACCCTGCCTTTCAGGATGCCTGGAGCAGTGACGAAGACTGATGCAGATGTTTTGAATGTGTGGGCAAAAGAAGCATGTAAATAATCTCACATCCATTATGCAAAATATGACAAGTGTAGGTTCTTGCAATTATTTTTAAAATTTAGATAAATAGATGCTGTCTGGCTTCTATCTGTAATAAAATATGTAAAGTGTTGTACAGTTCATGCATATCCACAACTGTATGCCTCTGGATTGCTGTAGATTATTGTTGTTGTTTTTTTTTTCTTATGTTTTTTATTTTATATTGGCACCATCAATGACTTTTGTAAGCAAATTGGGATTTATGTTTCTAATTTGAATTTTTTGCTAAAATAAACATTTTTAAGTAAATTGTTCTTGTTTATGATGCATCTGTGATTTTCTAAAGATACTGAGCAACCTAAATATATCTTTTTTTTTTTGTTTGTAAATTTCTTCTCTTTTAGCCAGAGCTTTGATAGTGTTTTGGGTGTGGTCAAAGTTCTGGAGTTCTTTTTTTGTCAGTGAGCCGAGAAAAGCTTGCCGACGACCCTGACATGGGAGAAGCCAGGCAGTAAAAACAAAACTTGTTCCTTTTGTTGCTCTGGGGAAAATGTACGTGTGTTTATGAGTTTTGACCCCTTTCTGAAACAATCAGGGAGGAGTGACACTGAAACCTCCACTTTGGACACTCCCAGTTGTGCATCATGTTAAGTGTTGAACAAGTCCTGTTGATTATGAATTATCTGTGGATGGATGTAATAATTCCAGAAATCTTAATGGCTGTTTTGTTGATTGGCTTTAATGCTGTGGCTTTATAAAGGTAGCGGAAAACAACAGCAGTAGGTTGTTTATTTATTTTTTTTATTTTTTTAGCAATTTTTTTAAAATGAAACCAGGGCTTATTACGTGTGTAGATTTATTGTTCTTTCACCAAGTTGGACATAGCTTTTCTATGAGGTATCGCATAAGAATGAGCTACATCACGCCAATCTAGTTTGACTGCAAGTCAACCAATCAGAACCAAGAGGGATGTGGCTAGATGCTTAGGCTCCACCCCGCGCAAACTGGACTATAAATCGTCATCAGCCCACGGGCCAACAGAGTACACCTGCTTAAAGGCAACAGGTGGGTCTTCAACGGGGAAGATCGTTTTGGATTTCAACGAAAAGGGAGCTTTAACAACGCTTCAGGTTTGTAATTTTTCCAAAGATAATTTAATATAAGTGGGTGAAAAAAACGGAAGTGGAGTTTAATGGAGGACTGGAGGGGGAAAAAAACATTAGCTAAAAGTAAACAGTCACAGCTAGCTAACTGGGCGTTAAACATTCTGATTTAGATGCTGTTCAAGTTATCACGAAGCTATTTTAAAATAAAAATCGCAATTTTTAAAAACGCTTAATTTGGAAGTCGGAGGATATTGTGATATTGTTCACGCTGAATGAGGAGGCGCGCCTTGGGAGTAGCAGCCGTTACATCATTGTAATCCCTGACCCAAACTTTTATTGGCGTGTCAAGACTAGCCATTGTGCCATCAGAGAGGAGAAACATCTTTTTTTTTCCCCTCCCGTGTTTTAAATACCCCTTTTTGCAATCAGGCAGACACACCTTGAAAACCAGTATGCAGTTTTGTGCATCACTCCTCCTTTCAGACTAGACTTGTATGTCCAGATCTTGTGCAATTTGGTTGTGATGGTAACCAGTGTGAGATGAAAAATCCCTCATGGAGCTTTTATCATGATTTAGTTTTGTCTTCATACTTGATTGGCTCCTGAAGGTGTGACCAACCTGACCATGATCTTTAATTTTGGGTTCTGGTTTTTAATGCTTGTTAAAATAAGTGTACTGGATCACATTTAGACCACATTTCTACTGTATAGTCCACATTCGGTGTAGTTCATTGTTTTCGCTTTTGTTAATTAAAAAAAAGGGGCCAAGAACCTGTTTGATCTGATGTGGAAACTACTTCCTGATACTTGAATGTGGATGAACCTGCATCAAATGTCCATCAAATCATGTTTTAGCTCATTTTAAAAGACACACAACCTGTTCAGCACTGAGCTTCAATCTCAAAAGGTTATTTCTTCCCCTAATTGTGCAAATTTCCCACTATTGATTAGAAATGTTCTTGCATGTTCCAGACGTCATTTACAAAATATCGCAGACTCTTTCCGTACTGGGTTTTAATTATTTACCTGCCTCTCTTTGGGCCACCTGTAGGGTTCCTGCCTGAAAATGGAGTTATTCAACATCAAGTCTTCTGCTGCCCTCATTTACGATGAGTTCATGCACAATGCAGGTGAGTCTATATTAGTAACGCCTAAATCTATTTAATTTCTGTTTAGGAATCCACTCCGTTGTGTTTCTGTTTCTCATTCTTTTTCAAACACGTTGCAGATTCCCGGACAGAAAACTGGCTGCTGATGTCATCTCCTATCCCCCAGACCATCATCATCACCGCTTATATTTACTTTGTTACATCACTGGGACCTCGGATAATGGAGAACCGCAAAGCCTTTGACCTGAAAGGAATCCTCATCGTGTACAACTTCAGCGTGGTGGCTCTCTCCCTCTACATGATCTACGAGGTGCGTTTCTGAGTTTTGTTTTTCTCTGGAATTTTACTATTGAAACCACCATTTGATCTAAGGGTTTCAAAACTCTGGCTCAAAGCCAGAGGGAGTGCCAAGTTTTCATTCTCTCAATTATATTTTCCCTTTTGTCCAACTAAAGAGAAGTTGGTGGTTTCCATTCAGCGAATAATGAATTATGTCATGTTTTCTCAAGATATCAAACATGTTTGTGCATTTTGACACACTGCAAGCCAGATTTTTAACTTTGACATATTCTAAATGTGATGATTGAGATAAAAACATTTTATCTTTGGAGCTAGTCAACTATTTATCTTTTTCAGTTTGTGATGTCGGGATGGGGAACCGGATACTCATTTCGCTGTGACCTGGTCGACTATTCTGATTCACCACAGGGCATACGGGTAGGTCACTCCATTACATTTGGCCTATACACCCCTCAAAACCAACTGTTTACATTCAAGTGTCTAGAATCTCTGCTAAAATGTCAACGTTCTCCTCTAGATGGCAGCAACGTGCTGGCTTTACTACATGTCAAAGTTCATTGAGATGCTGGACACCGTAAGTGTTTTAGTTTATAACGCACCTTGTTCTGTACTTTTAATGTACACTTCTAAACCAAACTCTTCCCTTCAGATCTTCTTCGTCCTGAGGAAGAAGAACAGCCAGGTGACATTCCTTCACGTCTACCATCACTCCATCATGCCCTTCACCTGGTGGTTCGGAGTTCGGTTTTCTGCAGGTAAAGCACTCTCCTCTTTGTGTCTGCGCTCAGCCGACTGCCTTGGGGAAACGTTCTGATGTCATGCTGAAAACGCTCGTTTCAGGTGGAATGGGAACTTTCCACGCCCTGCTTAACTGTGTCGTCCATGTCACCATGTATACGTACTATGGGCTGACCGCCCTGGGCCCCAACTACCAGAAGTACCTGTGGTGGAAGAAGTACCTCACCACCATTCAGCTGGTATGGTTTTATTATTGGTTTTAAAATTTTATTTTTTTTTAATTTAAGTTTAATTTGAGGAGTTAATTTCTTGTGGTGTTCCCTAGATCCAGTTCGTTATGGTTTCCAGCCACATCTCCCAGTACTTCTTCATCAAGGACTGCCACTACCAGTTCCCGGTCTTCATCTACATCATCGGCCTGTATGGCCTGATTTTCCTGTTCCTCTTCATCAACTTCTGGTACCACGCCTACACCAAAGGCAAGAGGCTCCCTAAAGTCCTCCGTGCTCAGTCGTGGTCACACCACACCAACGGAGTCATGAACGGAAACGCCGACCACGAGAAATATCAGTGACTTGAGCATCTGGGCGTTTCAGGGTGGAGTCGACCCAAACTTGTTTTTGGACTATTTATCTTGGCTGCTTTTCTACAAAGACAATCCTTGAATTTGACCAAAGCTGAGGTTTAATGACACCACTGAACCAAGCTGAAGGCTTTTATATAAATACAAACTAAAAACCCAAGTTCTACTACATGGATGTCGCCAAATATTAACATTTTCAGTTGAAGTTGGCTTCAATAAGTTTCAAATTCCTGTAAAAGCTAATTATGGGAGTTCACCTGTGGTGAGACTGCGTACTGGATCTTCTCATCCTAAAGCCGTTTTACCTGTTAAAACCAGATCTTCTCAAGTCTTTGAGTGATCCAGATCAAAGTTATATATTTTTTTAAGTTGTGCACTGAAAAGTGAAGATTTATTTCATTTGGTCTGACATGTTTGCATTTTTAAAAGGGTAACGCTACATTAGCCCTGTAACTAGTTGCGCAGAACAGTTTTTCTTTACTTTTGACACTGCATATACGCCCATTACTCTACAGAAGCTGCTGATGGTACAGACATGGAGAGAAAAGCACAGCAGCACCATTTTTCCATCCCTGTTTTAATGCTCCTATGAAGCGGTGTGATTATTCAGAGTAAACCTGATGGTTCTTGTAGGGTCCAGAACAGACTATTTAAAAGCTAAAGTCTACTTTCCTACTGAGGCACGTTGTAAAGGAACATCTTTAGGACACAGCATGAACATCTGATTGTTTGGGTGTCTCACCTTGTCCTGTTGTTTCTGAGCAGCAAGCCCATGATGTGTCCGAGCAGTTGGGGTGAGTGGTTTTATACCGATGATCTTAAACGTGAATGAAACACTGGCGGTTGAGGACACGGGATTGAGCGTTGTGTGGAAAGAGTTCCACCTTTTTATGAAGCACAAATCCACGGTAACTGTAGGTTTACAGAGGAGTAAATGTTTTGTTTGTTCAGTTTGACAGCTCTTTACACCAGTGAATATTTAAAAGGTTTTTTTTGTGTTTTTATATGTATTTATATAAAATAAATGAATGTACTTATAAATGACTCACTACTTGGTTTTTTTTTTTGTTGTAAAAATGTTAAATATTAATTTACTGTGGATGGTGGGTGAAAATTTAGACACTTGAATGGAAATGTTTCCATCTCGGAGGATGAGCTTTGAGCTGCTTTTGTAACTTTTCTTCTTAATCTGACTGCAGAAAGAGCTTGTGTCCAGTAGGGAGTGGTGTTGGTCTAGTTATGGGTTTCTTTAGAAAAGCACCTTCATTGAACTTTTTCAAGGCTTCAGTTACACTTTCAAACTTAATCACTTTACTCTGGAGTAGAATTTGCACTGGTTCCATTCTGCTATGAAAATTGTTATTTCAGACTTTCATATTTATCTCTCTCCCCCCCCCCCCCCCCCCCCCCTAAGGTTTTTGATTAAAGTAACTACACTTCCTAAGTTTGGTAAAAGGAAAAATATTTTTATTTCTGAACTGTCAATTGACCTCTATTAAAATATCGTTTCTAATGAACCTAAAAAGTGTCAATATAGCTGAATATTTTTACCATTAAGAACAATAAGTGTAAACAAAAGGAATAGGATTAAACTATTTAACTCCAGTCTTGTTCCATATCCTTAAAATAATGTACTTCATATTTACCCTAACCTATCTGAGCCTTTCTTCCACTGCGAAACGTAATTGTAGTCATGCAACCATTGTCATTAGTGAGCAATATTCCAACATGCAACATGAGTGTACCCCCATGTGAATGCACTAACGTGTCACAATTAAATGTAGCCGTTTGAAAACGGGGAACACAAATGCCTGAAATTCTGTTTTTTCCAGGTCCTCAACATAAACAATGATGTCAAGTAATAAAGTATGTGTATTTTGTTACTAAATTTTCTGCATCTATACTTCACATTAACATTTTCATGCAGTTATCTGTACTTTCTATTCCTTACATTTTAAAAATAGCATTGTTACTATTGTGGCTTGTCATTCTTTTAAAGAACACAAATACAAAAAAGTTCTGTCATCTGGATAAAGTGAATTTGATTGCAGTTAAAGAATAATAGCATTCTGACACCCTGTTGGTTTGTACTCAATCAGTTGCATACTGTCGATGACACAAACCAACAAAATGTTCGAATCACAGGGAAGGAAACTCTTTGAACAGAGTGATGAGAACAGGCATCAGGGCATCTCGACTCTTGGAGGGTACGGGTGATCGCTCTGCATGTCTCGAAGCGACCCTTCCAGGCTTTTCACTGCTTTCCGAGGCTGCACTGACAACCAGTCTACGAGAAAACACTTCTAGCATGAGTAACACATACAAAAGCCGGGATGTTCCTCTGATCATTCAAAGCCATGTTTTATTTAATTTTATTGTTTTGAATTGAAATGGTACTTGATATTTTCAGAACGTTCATTGTGATTGATGTTCATTTCAATTCTCTTATTAAGTTAAGTGGAAGAAGTAGAATCATTTGCTGTTAGGGAAAGTTCTAGACAAACAGAGGCAGATGCTCTGTTAGAGAGGCACTTTTCTAAGAAAGCACTAGAAACATTGCCTTTAAAGGGGTGGGTTACTAATTTAATCAATACATCTGCAGTGAATGAATGCCTTGTAAGTCGTTTTCAGTGCAACATTTCTTGGACCTAAAAGTAGCTCCTATCCCAGCTGAGCTTACAAACAGCAGGTTTTAGAATCTCCCTGATATTTGAACATCTTGCCTCGGATTAGATAACAGCAGTGCGACTACCACTGACTTGCAACGTGGATCTTCGCAAATAACGCAAACCTGCAGGAACTTCTTCCATGTGGTGAAGTTGCTAATGCTAACTGTTAGCTTAAACTTGCTGAGTCGTTCGCTGCTGATTCCCGTCGTGAGTCAAGAACGGTGAGTCCATGAATGCTAATTCACAGTGACATAGATCTGTGAAGATTTTCTAATCCTGAATTTTCACCATCTATTTTCTATCAGAAGCTAATGATGCAGTTCCACATTTCGCATTAAGCCCGGGCCATATTGCATTTTTTGGCTATCCTAGACAAATCTCTTGTCTTGAACAGAATATTGACAAAAAAAAAAACAGTGAACATGAGGGGGATTGCCCCAGCAACAGTTTATAGAGCACTCACAATCCACTCCGACAGTCTTCAGCAGTGTCAAAAAATATATGACTCCAGTCTGCAAAGGACCAATGAAAACACATCTGCAGCATTCACCAATGGCCACTAGGATGTGCTGTGATCAAACCTCGAGGGAAAAAGGTGTCTTCAGGGACGTGCCTGAAATCAAGCATATGGGCTATCCCCGACTGTACATACTGCTGCTTCTCATTTGTATTGCTGCTGCTCAACCATCACACTGCTGTCCATCCATGCTGCTGCTCGACTTGTATCTGTAAGTCTTCACATGCCTGTTAAGCTAATGTAACGGTCACGTTGTCAGTATGCACGCTAAGCCGCGCTGCATTTGTTTACGTATTTTATCGCATTGCTTAGCTTTAGCCTTTAGCCCATGCTGCTGCTTCACGCTGCCGTTAGCTTCTGCTCACTCAGCTTTGTATGTCGCCGCAGGACTCCTTCATCCTTGTCAATAAAGCCATTAGACATCAAGGAGTGTATTTCTTCATGAAGGAGCCATGGTAGTTATCAGATGCTCCGTTCCAGCCTGCACGTTCGCCACCGACAATGTGTCTGAGGCTCTTGCCGTGGCGCTGCTGGCAAACCATGGCCTCGCCCATCAGAGCTGGACCGAACCTGCTGCGCCCGTCTGGGCCCCGGGCCTGCCTGGCCCTGCGCTGGATCGACCGAGAGTAGATGTCAGCATGTCCATCGAGGAATGGAACGTTTTCACCCGCCGCTGGAAACTCTTCCATGCTGGCTCGGGCATAGGTGATGCCCAGGCCCCCTTCCAGCTGTTTCAGTGTGCTGGTCCGTAACTTGGGGACAGTTTGCTAAAGGCTAACCTGGGTGCTGTTACTGGACCGGTTGAGACTCTGCTGGCTGCCATGTGCTCTTTGGCGGTGATACCGGTTGCCACATGTGTTCTGAGGACTGAACTGATTCAACTACGCCAGGAGCGTGATGAGCCCTATCGTGCTTTTGCCGCTAGGGTGCGTGGTAAGGCAGAAACCTGCGCCTACAATGCTGTGTGCGGATGCGGGCAGTCAGTTGACTATTCTGATCATCGTGATGTACTGATTAATGGGATTAATGACTCTGACATACGAAGGGACATGTTGGGGACTCATGATGTTCTATGTAAGTCTGTGAATAATATAGCACTGGTGGAGAACAGGGAAATGGCTCGCAACGCCCTCCCCTCCTCCAGCCTGTCAGCTATGTCCTCGTTCAGGCGCAGACAAGCTATGCCACCATCAGTGCCTGCTCCCTCTCCGGCCCCACCAGACAGGTCTGCTGGGGCTACATGCCCTGATTGTAAAGTGTCTTTCTGTGTTTTTTCTGAAGGATCTCGGGGTTGGAACACCAATCTTCATCGAATGTGTGCCGACTGCTTCCGGGCCCGGAAGAGACGGGCACGGCACCAGCCACACACGGACGGACAACAGGCTGCGGTGGGCTATGACGTGATATCACAGGTCTCATAAGTCACGTCAAGCATCTGCTCCAGGGTTCGATTCCTGGTCGGGTCATACCAAAGACTTTGAAAAAATGAGACCCAACGCCTCCCTGCTTGACACTCAGCATTAAGGGTTTGGATTGTGGGGTTAAACCACCAAATGGTTCCCGAGCGCGACTGTGTCTGCAGCTCACCGCTCCCCCAGGGGATGGGTCAAATGCGGAGAACAAATTTCGCACACATATCAGTGTGTGTGACAACTGATGGGACTTTAACTTTAATGGGCGCCGCAGAGACAGGCACTGACCCTGCACCTTGGGGACGCTTAGCTGCGGTGACGGGCCCACGCCGATCAGGTTCGGCCATCACATTTTCTCCAAAGGCGAATAGCGGCGTGCAAAGCTCAGGGACCACCGCCGAGTGCCCATCTCCATTAAGGTTGATGATAAGGTGAGGTTCACTTGTGGAGTCAGTGCCAGGTGCCTGGTTGCAGAGGCCACCGTGTCCACCATTGCAGACACGGGGGCTCAGTTGGACCTGTGGTCCCTGGAGGAATTCCTGGCATGCGGTTTCTTACGCAGCACCCTCCACCCGGTGGTCCCAAGCATATCAGCGGCAAACAGCTCCCCCATTGACATCGAGGGCGCCTTCTTTGCCAAACTATCCACTGCTGCCCCTGGCAGTGAGGTGGCATCATGCCGCGCAATGATATATGTTAGCAGGTCAGTTCACGCGATGTGCCTCTCGTATGACTCCCTGCTCAGCCTCGGCTTGCTGCCTAGTGGGTTTCCATCCTGTACGGGTGAGGGCAACTCTGCAGTGGGCCGCGACCTTGAAGCCGCCAGCCGTTGCGGTGGGCTCACCAAAGGAAAACAACAAACAACAACAGAAAGAAAAAAACAACCAAAGCAAAGAACCAGAAACCCAGAAAGACAAGAACCACAACCAGTGATAACCCTACCATGCATCAAAGGCATAACAGAAAAAATAAGAGCAACAATGAAAAAACACAACATAAACACACCAACAAAACCATACACAACAGTTAGAAACATACTAGTACTCCCAAAAGACAAGATACCAGCTGGACTTAAATGTGCAGTCATTTACGAAATCCCATGCAAACTCTGCAATACAACATACATAGGAGAAACTGAACGCCAACTCAACACACGAACAATAGAACATAGAAAGGAGTGCGAGAAAGAGGCAAGTCGAAAACACACAAGAGCAGCAAAAGAAGAAGCAGAAAGCACAATAAAGACGTCAGCCGTAAGAGATCACTGCACAAGAGAAAACCATGTAATGGACTGGGACAACACAAGGATCATAAACACCGAACAACAGAAATACAAAAGATGGAGAAAAGAAGCTATCGAGATAAGGAGACGTGGATGTGGGACCAAGAACAGGGAGGACGGAGTTTACTCGTTGGATCGCACATGGGATTGCATCATCGGAGAGG